AAAATAAAATAAAAATGAAAAAGCTAAGGACTGAAACCAGGTCAAATGTTCTTGGATAAAATGGGTTACAGTACTGTACATATGTGCAAATATATAATGTCCGGGGGAAAAAAGCATTTTGAGAGGTCTTTTGACAGTTCAGAGCCACCGTACAAGCGAAAATCTAAATACAGATAGGACGTTTTACTTTACTTATTTACTTTTACAACAAAATGCTGCATAAATTCATCCTATTTGGCGCTTTAGATTGTTTTGAATACAAGTAGGTGCTGCTTGTCAATCATACAATGCTTCTATGTATATTCTTGCTGTCAATTGCGTGGAAAAAAATGATTGATGAAAGGTTTATGATAAACCGATGTGAGTTTCAAACTTTTAACTGCTGGCACTGTGACACATCACGCTTGTACACGAAGAGGAGTCAGATTATGTCTGATAACGATATGGCCGCCAATATATTGTGCATCCCTATATTATAGTTGCATATGCATCCCTGGTCAATTAGTTGACCAGGAACCACAAGTCAAAACACTAGATTTGTAGAGTCACTGCAGAATTGAACCAAAATAGAGTAAAAGTTTATCATCTGCATGTGTTATAAGGCCTGTGATTATGTGAGTATTTGAAAAGAGTTAAAAGCATTTTAGTAGCACATAAAGAAGTTTAATAAAGATTCATTTAATTGAATTATTTACATGATCAAGATAATGCTCTGTTCTTTTACAGTTTTTAATTGCATTTCTGATCTCAAATATTGCTGCTCTCCCCAAAAAGCCATAAGGTAGGTATTGTCACAGTAATATTTGCTCCATTGTGTTTATTTATGAATGTACTTTGTTTATTATTTTTATATAATAAATTATATTCAAATATATTAATATTTTACTCCCCTACAAAATCAGCCCAATCAATCTAAAGCAATGACTTCACAGAGATATTTAAGTCATCTGTGACACTGTATTTATATCGCAATATATAATCGCAGAGAAAAACAAAATACTGCAATGTCAAATTTGTCCAATATTGTGCAGCCCTACTAAAAAATAAAATGATTTCTACTCTAAAGAACCTTTCTTGGAACAAAAAGGTTCCATGGATGTTAATGGTTCTACATGAAACCACTGATGTCAATAAAGAACTATTATTTTTAAAAATTGTACATTGGCTGAAACAAATCTGGCTCATCAGATCTTGTGCTCAACAATAACTCTCCCTTGGTACACTGTTCCCCCACTTACAGCCTCATGTGCTTATCCACTTCACTCTCTCTCTCTTCTCTAATGCTCTTTTTCTTTTCCCTGTCTCTATAATCACTCACTCCCTCTTTTATTCGCTCCCTCTTCCTCTCTTGCCCTCTTTATTGATCGGAGGAGGCCAGAGAGCGAGCAGGCCTTCTGTGTACTGTAACCTTACACCAGCCCTGACCAGCTGGACCCTGCAGGAAGACGAGGCGGATATATATCCTCACCCTCGAAAAATCAGCTCCTTCGACACACACATTCAGTCTCTACTCCAATAAAATCCTTCACAACTGAAACATGACGTTACAGTAGTCTTCACACTTCAAGGTGATGGCTAACAGTTGTTTTTCTCAAGGTTTTTTAGAACTCCAGACGAGTCACAATGCTGGCTGAGAGCTCTGAGGTGCCCATTGTCCAAAACACTTTCCCTCCAGCGATGGCTGCTATTTACAGAGACACATGCTCACCAACTCACGGGGACCAGTAGTCTCGTCACTGCAGAGGCTTAAGTGGAAACAACATCACAAGCCAGTTTGAGAAGCAGAATTTGAAGGTTTGCAAATGAGAACGGTTCACAACACCAACTAACAGCCCAGTAGTTAAAACACTCAATGCATTTTCTTTTCAACACATCCCATAATTTCTAAAAAAAATAAATAAATCTACCTGTACTAAATGGTTGATATGTTGGTTGAAGGTAAATTAATAATACCACAATTAATTAATTAATTCATTTTCTTTTCGGCTTAGTTCCTTTATTAATCAGGGGTCACTACAGGAGAATCAACCGCCAATACCAGAATTAATACATAATAATATGAATAATACTGGAATTAATACACTATATGAAAATCAGAAAATATGAAGTGTAAGATCAATTTGTTTAAAAATATAATCAAAGTAAAACACTTTTAAATACTAAATCACCTTTATTTTTTAAGTATGCCATGAAATATTCACATTCTCAGTTAAATGTTTTTCTTGTTGTTTTTTTTTACAATAAAACTAAACTCAAGTGTAGCAGTGCAACAGGATTATGTTTGTTTGATTTTCTTTTTTTTTTTTTTTTTGGTAAACCAACAATCCTGTGTTGAGTAAACGATTATTTAAAACAGTCATACTTTAAATGACTTAAACAGTCATTGTTAAAAACAGTCAAAATATGGTCAACCATTTGTTCGAGCAGGCAGTTAAAGGGATAAGCCTACACAACACAATGCGACTGTGCACTTTTCTAAGAGCAAACACTGTACTGTAATCTGCTATTGTTGTTTTGGATGTCAAATACTTGACTAAACATAATATGCATGAACATGAGGTCACTGTTTTCATCAAATTGCATTGTTAGATTACATAGAGATGTATCAATGTCAAAAATGCTTTCAAATGTTTGCATTTTTAGGCCCCCAAAACAAGGTTTGTAAATAAACAGTCAAAATGTTTTCCAATATTTAGTGAAAACAGTAAACAAGCATGTCAAAGAACTGCATCAGAACAGCCTTCTATAAAAAACTTACTCTTACATCCAGGGATGTTTATCTTGAAGTTGATATTTAGCCGCACCATGTTGGTGTTTAGTAACATCAAATTTTTTACAAGGTGGGTCTTTAGCCCAGCGCTCAACCCCCAACCTGGAGGACCAGGACATTTACATATACACTACAGACAATTTAGCTTACCCAATTCACCTATAACACATATCTTTGGACTGGGGAAAAAACACGCGAACATAGGGAGAACATGCAAACTTCACACAGAAATGCCAACTGGCAGACCAGGACTCAAACCAGCGACCTTTGTGTTGTGAGGCGACAGCGCTACCCACTGCGTCACCATGGCATCACATTTAGTCAGACGGTTAAAAATATACATTTTAGACTTAGTAAGAGTAAATAACACTAGAGATGTCTCTCAGTGATGTGTATGACTAAAAGCAGGTCAGCTGGATGTTTAAGCAGGACAGAGGCTCAATCTAACCCCAGTGACACACCGATTGGCAGCACACCTTCAGCTGGAGCTTCTCATGAAAACTGCTACCACTAAATCTGCTTCACTGGAAATGTCACTCAGATGATTCCCGTATTAGACTAAGTGAATCATATCCTGCTGAAGTATGAATCATGAAGCCGTGGACAAACTTGGAAAACCTATGAAAGCGAATGTCATACACAAAACCCTGTAGGAACAATACAGCATCTGTGCATTCTCTGTGAATAAAAAAACTACAGTTTCATAGCTATTTTGAAAATGAGGTAATTTCCATATTTTTGCATCTGAAATTGCTTGTAGCTAATTTCAATTTCGTTTTTGTGCATTTACAATAAAAGTCTGATTACATTTCGTACTCATTTCAAATAAAATGTAAAACATTTCTTTCAGTTTTTTAAAGTTATATTTACAGTTATTTACAGGTAATTTACAGTAATTAAAATTGGTTATTATCATAAATTACAGTTAGCCATAATAAATTGTGATTAAAAATTAGGGTTATTTTACCAAATACAGATTTAATAACTCTTTTGCAGTTAAGGTTAAGATCGGTATTGTTTTGTTAAGTACATGTAATTACGTTAAAAAATAATAAATTAATGAATTATACCTACAAACCTGTTCAATACTAGTGTCTCAGGTTCTATTACTTTTATTTTTTCTTTATTTAGCCAGGAGATCGCATTGAGACAGAACTGTCTCTTCTTCCAGTGAGACCTGGTCAAGATGGCAAGCAGCACATACAGTTTCACAAAAAAAAAAAAATCACAAAAAAATAAATAAATAAATAAAACAATGCCATATATACTAAAACCAATACTATATCAGGGTCTACTGACTAGAAAATAATTTTACCATAAAAATATTTACCAAAGAACCTGACACTGACAATGGTAAAAATGCAAGCAGAAAGAACGCTGCGTTAAAAATATTTTGCTGCTTGTTCAATTGAATTATTTTTAATGATGCAATTTGACACAATTCTTGCTAAATTGCATGTCCAGTTAAATTTGTAATACGGAAGCTACTTGATGCATTTGTGCTGAGCTACATTAATCACTTTCAGTGCCAATGACTAAAACCAAAAAAGGGATTTATGATACCCAGCAACCTTTAAAAAGAGTGAACAGAAATTGTATTGTTTTGAACCAGATAATAGCCTACTCTGTTTTTGTTGCTTCAATGAAACATCACTAATGGAATTTTACTGCAATTAACTTTCTTGCAATAGCATCAAAAAACAAAGTTAATACTGCAGTCTGGGATACTGCAACCTGGGGAAAAAGTGCAGAGTGCATATGGCCAATAGCCTTAACAGGGGCCCACTGAACGTCCAAAGCAAAAACCTGTGAATGGGCCCAGTATCCCATTATGACACCACTAACAGTGATGTATTATTTTAGTTATTATGACACAAGTAACCTTATAAGTAATATTTCTGCTAAACAATGTTATGTATATAGGCCTAATAATGCAAGCAATTTTAAATTAACCAAAAAAGTGTGGACCTTATTTTAGATTGCATACCCTTGAATGACAAAACCATTCTAGAGAATTGTGCTGAGTCTAGCTGAGCTCCTGAGAAGATTTAGTTACATTTGGAGTCCTTACGGAGGCACCATGACTCTCTCAAGGATGCTCGAGAAGACACTGAATGAGCTCACAATCACTAAAATGGCTATAATAGTTTAATTCTACAGAGATTGTTCTCATTATTTCCTAAATAACATGTAATTAAAAACAAACCATCTCACGTCACAGTTAACCTACCTTTCAGTAAGGGCAGCGGCGTGAGCTCCACCTGGGAGCTTTGGTAGCGGAACTGTGAGGAGCTGTGGGACCGTCGCTGACGAGCACGGCGCATCGAGCGGCGGGGGAAACCGTCCACCTTCTCCGCGCTCGGTACAGAGAAGCCCGTCGTCGGCGATGAAGGGCTCGACGGAGGCAGCTTCGTAGGGGTCTCCATCGTTGCTAAGGTGGTGCTCGGCAGAAGATTGTTTTAGGATGGCAGCTAACAGCAAGAACAGGCACCCAATGCCTTGTTTTTGGCCCAAAATATTGTTGTTTGATTGAAAAAGTCAAATAAAAAAAACAAGGATTCGACTAAAGACACAAGTTAGCTGACGTTAACCTGGTCGAAATGTAGACAGGGATGGTGGACTAAAAGCTATCGGTGTTCAATTTGACGCGTCTCTTGCTCGTGTTACATTAAAGCCTCTCAAAATAATCGAAATTAGACACGGAGGCAAGCAAAAGGGTGAATGTAACTGCCTATATCTTTATGGAGAGATGCTGAGGCGAACATGCATTTCTACAATAAAGACATCTCTGCCGTACTGTCGTCATCAGAAAGTCATCGGCCTAAATTTGGTCTTTATTTAAATATTTATAGGCTAGAGGTATAAATCTGTAACGTATTAACACGCGGGTGTAATAAGCACTCTATCCTGTGATCGTGGGCCAATCAATCCATGTTGAAAAACAAACGGGCGATTAAAATCCTGTCATTTATCTCCTCCGCACAGGTTCAAATGCATCACTTGTTAATTAAAGGTTATCGTCATATTACCAGTCGCCAGCCTTAAGTCCTTTTTCGCAGCGCCCCGCTGTTAAATCCGTCCTCGTACAGTCGGTTCGGTTCGGTCAGATCCACACAGGGCGGGGATGAACTGCTTCAAACGTGCCTACATGTGTAGAGCATCGCGGCGGCCGCTGCAGCACTGATACCCGCTTCTGCCTCCTTCCCTCAGATACAAGAAACCGCTGCTCAATTTCTTCTGCTTCACAAGGACGCTGACAGCCTCGCTGGTTTTGTTCGTCGTTTGTCCCTTCCTCTCCGCTGTTTTCCCCCGTTTCTTTATTTCCCAGCAGTCAGTGTCGGTCGTTGTCTTCAGGTGGTGCAAGTAGATGTAGATGCTACACACTGCAGATGACGCTCACGCGCTCTTATTTATTTATTTACTCATCGTACATTTACGCGACTCGCTTCCAGACGCCGCGAGATGTGACTATCCGCCGTTTACTCTGTTCACCGTTTAAGCGGACTAATATATGCTATTTGTTTTTATTTCGTCTGTATCTTTATCAGACAGCTGTTTATCTACCTCTGCCTCTTCCCTTCTGCCCTCCCTCGCTGGCTGACAGTCTCTCTCTCTCTCTCTCTCTCTCTCTGTTAGACGCTGTGTTTTGGGACTGTCAGGTTGGCCATTGTTCTTGCTTCATTCGTTCATTAGCTACTCCGCGCGTTCACTCGCTGATTTTCGTTTAGACCGTCGGTAAATGTTTTTCGAACACGAGTTATGTGATATCGGTCGACCGACGACGTGCTGCTGCTGACCTACCTAAAACTATTACATGTGATGCTGAACGTAATGGGCGTTTTGGCTACCGAGAGACCATCCCCAACTACCACCGAGAGAGGCTGGGTGCTACTGATATGCCTTGTTTTACAGATTTATAAAAGATTTTTTATATTCCATTAACCTGTTCTGGATGCCCAGTGATGGGTTGTGGCTGGAAGGGCATCCGCTGCGTAAAAACGTGCTGGATAAGTTGGCGGTTCATTCCGCTGTGGCGACCCCGGATTAATAAAGGGACTAAGCCGAAAAGAAAATGAATGAATGACCTGTTCTGGTGTATAGCCTATAGGACAATTCATAATATAAAAAATAGCAAAAAAGTATATCACATTCAATTTATTGATTCTAAAAATCAAGTAACCATATACAACACAAAACATGTTTCACTCGTTTAAGGACGACACGATTTTTTTACACAAACAAACATACATACGTACATACACACACAGTTGAAGAAGTCAGAATTATTAGGCCCCCTGAATTATTACACCTCGTTTATTACCCCAATTTTTGTGAAACAAAGAGAAGTTTTTCAACACTTTTCTAAACATAATAGTTTTAAAAACTCATTTCTAATAACTGATTTATTTTATCTTTGCCATGATGACAGTAAATAATATTTGACTAGATACTTTTCAAGACACTTCTATACAGCTTAAACAGCTTGACATTTAAAGGGTTAACTATAGGGTAATTGGGCTAACTAAGCAGGATAGGGTAATTGGGCAAGTTATTGTATAACTATGGTTTGTTCTGTAGACTAAAAAGCTTAAAGGGGCTAATAATATTGACCTTAAAATGTTTTTTAAAAAATTAAAAACTGCTTTTATGCTAGCCGAAATAATTAAGCCTAATAATTCTGAATTCAACTGTATATAATCTTTTACATTTCTTTTACTTTCTGAATAAAGCAAAAACGTTAATAAGACATTTTAGTCACTGACCTGAACAAAGCCCATTGCTCATAAAACAGTGATATTACTACACGTCATGATTGATTTATATTTAAATATAAACAATTTATAAGTCAACAAAATATAATTTATAAAAATAGAAAGGAAATTCTCTATACAAAATAAAGCATTACTTAGCCATAAAAGGCTGTAGTCTTGTAGAAATATATACATATATAAAATAATGCCCATTTTAAACACAAAGCTACATGCAATTTAATTATTGCCATCTGTAAATAATATTTGAATAAATTATAAAATGAAACATTTCCACATCTTGGTTATGTTATAGCACCATTTTTAAGCCCAGTAAAAATCTTTCTGTAGTAGTGTGTAAGTCATCAAACTTGTCACCAACTTAAAATGTACAGTACCTGACTGTACAGCACTTCAAAGCTGAAACCCATTATCATTCATTGAGTCCCAAGGAGTCCAGTCGAAGAGATCTGTTAGTGACACTGAATTAGTGTTTGGTAAGAATGTAATGTCCGCCAAGAGGTTTGGACTCAAAACGTAATCTGAGGTAGAGGGTGTTGCTGTGGATGGAGCTCCTGACACACTAGCTGGTGGTCCAAATGAACCTAGTTTAGTGCAGTGAGGTTCATGCTGTTCCAAAGCTGTTTTGTAGATTTGTAGCTGCTTCTTCAGATCAGCAATTTCTTTTACAAATGCAGCATTAGCCTGCTCTAGAGTCTGGAGTTCCTAAGTAAAAAAGAAAAAAGAGATTATAAAAAGTGCAGCACTCAAATTCAGAAGTTACATGGTAAAAGAAAACATTTTAGCTGTGAGTACAGACTAGATGTACAGGCTGCTTAAAGTTATTTTGTACTATAACACATTTGTGACAAGAGGGGCGAAACGAAAGTGACAGTCCCGTCAACCTGACAGTCCCAGCTCTCGGCTCCACCCTCCCCATTTTTCTATGGAGTTTTCATGTTTAATTAGTATAAGGGCAGGTGTCCTTCAGAGTTTAGTTCCAACCGCAATTAAACACACCTGAACCAGCTAACCAAGCTCTTTCTAGGTATACTTAGAAACTTCCAGACAGGTGTGTTGAAAGAAGTTGGAGGCAAACTATCCCGGAATTTGGGCACTTCTGACATACAAAGATACAGCAGAGAGAGTGAGGGGAATCTTTTGTTCTGAATCAGTTGTGCAAGTGTGTATCAAACTGGCATGGTCACGTGATTTCAGTAAACCTTGCTTTATTACATCATAACATATGATATACCAAATTAGTGAATCATTTTGTGAAGCAATTAGTTCAGTTTCAAAAAGCTTAGTTTCTCTCTTCACTATTAATTATTATTAGGTCTTAGCAATAGCATGTGTTATATTTATACAGTTTCATGATTATAGTGGAATATTTTTCACCTCACTCTTTCTAATCTAGCTGTACTTTTCACTACAATGGTAACCCTAAATGTCCACACAGCTAAATGTATCGTAAATCCAACAGAGCACAAATTAACAACTGTATGTCTCCCTATTTTGTCCAAAAACAGAGAATAAACCTTTAATAACTTAATTTTTCTTATACTTTCTGACACAATGCATACCGGGAACTAGTATCTGTATTAAGTAAACTAAACTTTTTAAATATCTGAGTGAAATTAATTAATTCAATTTTAACTGATCAGTTTTATAATAGTTTAATAAAGTCTAGATTTTAACTGCTATTCTCACAAAAAACCCTGTATTTTATTAAGACCACCATGTGTCTTTTTTAAAAAGGATAAAAGATGTGAATAGTAGATAATTGGATACAAAGGGGAAAGTCCAGGATTTGTGCATTATCTGAAGAGAAACTAAAAGTGAAAGTGAAGGTAAACTGAAAGAACAAGTGTGGAGCTAACTCAAGTGAACTGCAGCTGCCCTATTATGCACAATGTTTCCAAGAAATGCCTACTCTACAGTAAAAGGTTGTGCAATAGTTGTGTCCCAGACTCTCTCTCTCTCTCTCTCTCTCTCTCTCTCTCTCTCTCGCTCTCGCTCTCTCTCTCTCTCACACACACACACACACACACACACACACACACAGACATAGAAAAACTGAGAGACTACAGAGTAATTATTAACAAACGCACCCAAACCATCTTCCAGAGAAATGTACACATACTGTAAACAACGATTAACATACTTGCTGAAAGTTGTGAGTATGACACATTACTTCATATTTCCAATTAATGTTATCCATAATAGCATTTATACACTAGTTGAGATGAATAACATACAGTGCTCAGCATAATTGAGTACACCCCATTTGGAAAATGAATATTTGTATCCATATCTCAGTGAATATAGGCAATTTATTTAGGCGTATTTGAACAAAACAGATTTATTAAACAGATATATTTATTCAAGTAATATTTTAATCACCAAACACTTAGAAATTAAAAGACAATACAATTAAATTCACGCAAAATATTGCAAAAACAATTACAACCTACAAAAATTCAACAACATTTCTTGATTGTTTTGCTTCTCTTGATTTTTCTTTTTTTATTTGTATTTAATATATTTCAATAACATATACATTTGGCTATACTAGTTTTTGGACAGTTATTGCAAGTTAGATTGCAAAATTTTGTTGGATGAGCTCCAGATTTGGCTTCAGTACTGACTAATCTAATGTATCTTCACAAATCTAATATTGTATAGCTTCCTATTAAAAATTTTAATTTAAAAGAGAGATTTGTGAGGGGTGTACTTACATATGCTGAGCACTATATGTGCATGTTTGGGCGAGTAAGATGAATGAAATGCTAGAGGCAAAACAAATATGTGTATTTAAAAAAAATAGCATACAAGCCTTACAGGATAATGTGTTTATTCAAGTGTATTATTAGACCACTTCATTTAAATTTTAAATTACAAATATATTTTAATGTACTTCTCAGAAATATACATTTATTGGACACTTAAGTATACTTGACTTATACTGGCATAAAGTCTTTAATATATTATTAACATGTAATCTCACATGTTCAAATTTAAATAGTTTATATAACAAGGCTTAGAGCTAGGATAGTTTAGATTAAATAAAACATGCATGAAACCGAGTATGCAAAACAGTACCCATCTATAAAAGTCTGGTTTTGGAATATTGTCAAGTGAAACCCCTGAGATCCCTTTTTGTGTGTGTGTGTGTGTGTGTGTGTGTGTGTGTGTGTGTGTGTGTGTGTGTGTGTGTGTGTGTGTGTGTGTGTGTGTGTGTGTGTGTGTGTGTGTGTGTAATATTGCTTTGCAAAAAGGAAACTGCTAAATGACTAAATGTACATGCATATATAAAAATGCTCCAAAACCATATGTTTTATACAGTATGTATTCCAGATGTGTTGCAAGTTTCACAATGTAGCCAATTTAGTCTAAAGCGGTATGTCAGAGTGTGTCAAAAGTCCCAATCTCCAACTCACCTCATGCAACAAGTCTGCCTTCTCGGTTTGTTTCTTGCGACTCTTACGAGCTGCATCTCTGTTTTTCTCTCTGCGATCTGATGTGTTCTGTAGATATATAACAGTGCACATTGTATACAAAATTGATTTAAAATATTCTAAGTATATATATATATATATATATATATATATAAAATCTACATTTCATACAAGAAAAGATGGTTGAGATTAAATTAAACCGAATTAGTATAAGAATTGACTTAATGAAAAGACAGAATAAAAATATTGGAGATTATTTATAATAACAATAGCATAAAACAGCAATCAATAATAAAACAATATTCAATTTTAACTCATTTAATGGCTATAATCAGCAATGATGTTAACAGTATTGTATCAACATCAAGTACAATGACATTAAATGAATTAATTCACTCCCTACCCATTCTTGAGGACTTTGAGAATCACTTTGAGAAAAAGGACTTCCTCGGTCAAAGTTTTCCATGAGAGCAGCTGGCATCTCCAAGTCCACGGATGCTCTTCGACAGTAAAGATGAAAATGCTTGCATGTATACTCTCAGAACCAGTCAATTGGTAATGTTCCGTATTGCGGTCATTTCTACGAAGTGAGTTGTAAGACGAGTTAAAGGAATCCTGAGGCAGCTGTTCTGGGCTGCAGTGAGTGTCTGCTCATGATTTAAACTACGCTCTTTCTAATGTAAGCAGTGGGCGGTGGAACGAGCCAATGAATTGACTAATAAGGTGACGCAACAGAGGAGTGGACTAGACTGATTTCGGTTTCGAATTATTTTAAATGGTCCGGTTAGCGGAGCCGGGAGATCACCGCTTCCGGTACGCCGCTGCCCGTATTTAGGTTGCTCATTTCCCGCACAAGAGACACATTTCGGGAATTCCAACCCGGAAATCCAGACGGCTGGAAGTGTGTGGGATTTGCAAGCTTTACTGTGTGATCCCCATTACATCACTGAAATTAATGTAAGATGTCTGAATGAGTCCAGTATTTTATATTTACTGATAAAATTTAGCAGATAGTCTGAAGGACAAGTTTCAAGTGCTGTCAGTTTCTACAGGCAGGAAATAATGGTGGCAGATGAATTGATAAAGGTGCTGAAAACATATAAGGGCTGCAAGCTCAAAATGGGGAAATACAAAATCTGATTATGATTGACATATAAGACATTTACTGTAAGGTTTCATTTAAGGAGAAGTTGTGAATCTAGAGCTTTAATAGACTTTGCTTTGGATGTAAGCTAAAAGTCTACTAACAAACAGTCTGACTACATTTTTTAGACTACAGATGTTTTCATTTATTATTTCATGGTTAACAAAGAGATACAGTTCCCATTTATTCACACTCAAGTTGTTACAAACTTGTGTGAATGCTTTTTTTTTTTAGTTGTTTTTTTGTCTATCTATCTATCTATCTATCTATCTATCTATCTATCTATCTATCTATCTATCTATCTATCTATCTATCTATCTATCTATCTATCTATCTATCTATCTATATGGTCTTAACCAGGGGTGGCAAAACTTTTTAGTTTGAAGGGCCAACAACGATAAATATACCAAACTAACTTACATTAAATTGCTATAGTTAACTTCCTAATTCATAATATTTTGTCATAATATTAAAAAGTAAATAGAAAACCTTACTTTGAATCGTATTAACTATTGCAGTATAACCTTTTAAATTTTAACTTATTCCAATAAAAACACAAACAATAAAATTTATAACACAGTGGAGTTCAATTCTGAATACACTAGTCACTTACAACTTACATTTAAATTGAAACATTTAATTTCAGATAGCTTTTTTTGTAGATTAGCAATGGAACAAACAAATAAAAAGGGACATTAAATTTGAAATGACAATCTCTAAATCTTAGATAGGATGGCTTGGCTTTGACTACCATGGGCCAACTTTGGCCCGCGGGTCCTAGTTTGGGCTTCTCTGTTCTAGACAACTGATGATGATACCCACCTAACTGTTTTACACCATAGATATCTACATTAGATGTAGCCTATGCCATTGTTGTCTATTGGAAAGAATCCATCAATAGAGCCGCTATTTTAGTACAGGGTGCTGCTTTGAAATGAATGTGGGACCAAGGTGCAGTGGAGGACTGGCCATCCGAAGCGATGATATATAAACATATGCACATATATCTATGATCAGGAGTTTTTCCCGGTGGTCAATACGCAAATATTTTTTTAAATTCTGAAAATTTTAATTTTACATCACTTTTCTACATTGATGGATAAGTCACCACACGGGCATTGTCAACAAAGAGCATGTGTTTGTGTACATGGAAATGTATTACCCTCCCTCCCTGATAAAATTGATCTAATTAGTGTTCTGAAACGCATTCCTTCTCCTGCTTTTACTTCCCATTGTAACTGGAGTGATTCGTTTGTGAATGAACATATTTGAATGAATTTGTGAATGTATTTCTCGCATATTGATTTTCGAGTTCTATGAATTCTTACATATTACTCGGCTCGCATACAGATTTTAGCTTTCTAAATAGTATGAAAGAATGCGGTTTCGGATGCAGCCTCTACAAAAACTAGCCTTTACCTCACTTAGCCGACAATAATACTAGCATTAGCATCTTGTCATACTTCATTACATTGTTTGGTTATTTTATTCAACAAAACTAGGATAAGGCTATAGTATTTAGAGCAAGTTGGTGCTACTTTAACTTATGATCAGTGCAGTAAGTAACTGTATTATCATCAATAACATTACTTGTGAGGCACAAAAATTCGTAACATACAAAAATGGTAAAAACGAAATCTTACCTATGAAATGTTTTGCCTTTATGCTTTGTTTTCATTGTTTGCTGGTTACTACACCCATGCACAGCGCAAAAGTCCAGCATCTTCGCATTGGCTTTAGTCTTGACTAGTGCGGCTGAATGAATTTTGTCCTGGGAGCACTGAACCAATGTGGCGGCAGTACTGATGCATGCTTAGGGTCTGTAAGCAATATCTAGAGTATCTATGGTTTTACACTAGGCAAGCCAATGAGAACCAGAAAATGTTTGGTCTTGCGTACCACCAGAAAGAAATTTGGAAAAACCTGAGGGTAATAAGGTTCATACCTGAAATATATCTAAACATTTTTGTTTTTATTGCCATTCTAAACTACTCAAAGTAAATTTTCACCCAAAATAGTGGTAGAGTAAACTTTCTATTTGCTCAATATAACATTGTATCAATGTTATCGTGAGTTGTTCTTGTTTGTAATTGTTACCTTTTGTATAAGGTAGCACAACTATTTGGTTAATCCTCTCAAGTCTGATATGGGCAAATGGATAAAACAATATCAATGTTTCCTTCTAGTTGTTGCGACATTGTGAATTTTGGAGCACATTTGAACTACAAAAATTATGACTTAACTGCAGATTGTTTACTTATTTTACCGAAAAATTTTCATTCATACATGCTAAATTTTGAAAACAGCTTCACATCTGATTGTCTTTAAAAAGGGGTTTGCCACCTATGCAGAGGCTTTAAATAATATTAATAATTTAATAATAAAGGGTAAAAAGGCTTAAAAATGGTAAGATTTGTTTCAAGAATGTGGTTTTACTTAACCCCTTACAAAATTTCTGTTTGATGTCTGCACAGTATGATTTTTTGTTAAGTTATTTATACATTTTTTGTTTGTTTTGTTGTAATTTTATAGCTTTATATTTGCTTGATTGTAACGTGTATATGATATCTCTCAGTCAGTTTGTGAAAGATTACGTTGGAATTGAGTTTGGCCTAAATTATTATGTTTTGGCAAATAAAAATATGTAAATAAATACAGGTAGCACAACTAACGAAACGTACAAATGTAAATCAACAGAGATAAACCATCGACTAATATGCGAGAGATGAGACTTACTTCAAATATTTTGGTGGACTTCAACTCTTCTTGGAAAATGAACTCAGGGGGCGCTGCTATAGAAACGAATACATTTGAACTGACAGCTTTCTTCACCTATTAGAAACGCAGACGCGCCCTTGCCACGGTTCTCCTTTGCCAATAGAAAAGGCCCAAATATAAACGACAGTTAAAACAACCAATCATAAGCCTTCAATGTCATACGTATTCCCTTTCTAACCAATCACAGCGCAGTGTGTTTTGTTAACTCATAGTAACGCTTCCTTGTTTCCAGTATGGCTTTGCACTGAAGGCATGCGATATTTATTTAAGAAATATTTTCATTTATTACGTTAGTTAATGCGTGATTTCAGACAGTATTGTGTATTTCATCTACGCGCTCGCGATGGGTTTACTGACTATCTTGAAGAAGATGAAACACAAGGAGCGTGAAATGCGTCTACTCATGCTGTATCTTTTCGCACAACTGAATTCAAGCGGATAGTCATGTACATTAGGTACATTTGTAAACAACATGATAAACTGCCGGTGTTTTGTATTGTTTGTATTCACTACAATGCATATACTTTCTAACAAGTGTCATTTTCTCAGAAAATGTGATGTAATGTGTAATGTGATGTTTATGTCACCTGTGATGCTGTCGAGGGTCCTTGACGTTTCTTTTCAGTGGTCTTGATAATGCGGGGAAAACAACTATCCTAAAGAAGTTCAACGGCGAAGATGTCAGCACAATCTCTCCAACATTAGGCTTCAACATCAAGACTCTTGAGCACAGAGGGTACGACTACTGAGAGCATTGATGCTAACTTTAAGCTAATTTTATATGGCAGATAAAACAATTTCTAACGGCACGGTTAAATTGATGTCTTTTTTGTCCGTAATGTTTTTAGTCAATATACTACGTTAGCGGAATTCTATGTCTCGGATTTCTCTTACTGTTGTAAATATAAACAATCAATTACCTCTTAATAATTTTGACTAAAGCTTGAAAATTTAATTTGCAATTTAAACCAAAATGCTTTAAATTCTTTTGTAGCATAGAGTTCAATGGCATATTTATATTTAAAACGAGAAACTTGGTAGGTTAATGGAAAAGGTTTAAAAGTAGGTTTCCCTTCATAAATTTTAACTAATTTCAAATCTGAGATTGATCGATAGCTAATAAAGTAGTTTTCAGCAAGATTGTTTTCACATTAGAACTTTTTTTTCATTTAGTGGAAATACTGTGTTCACTTTTGACCACAAACAGCGTTTGTAGGACCTTTTAAAACAAGTGTGTCCAAATAGCATGTGCCAAAATCATTTGTTTGTACTATTTCAGAGTTAAACGTTATAAACAAGCCAAAATGTAAGGTTTTGTTGTTGTTAGTTGTTTTTGTCAAGAAATTATTTAAAAGCACTTTAGGGTTAATGAAAGTAATCATCAAATTATGTCTTGTGAACACTGCCGACTTTTTAACCTTATGTTTATTTCAAATAATCTCCAAATACATTCTGTTTCTTTCTTTCTTCCCACTGAAACTAGGTTTAAGCTGAACATCTGGGATGTGGGTGGTCAAAAGTCATTGAGATCGTACTGGAGGAATTATTTCGAGAGCACAGATGGACTGGTGTGGGTAGTGGACAGTGCTGACAGACTGAGACTGGACGACTGCAGAAAAGAGCTGAATGCCTTACTACTAGAAGAGGTGTGATGGCGTTTCTCTTAAATTTTATAGCCTTAGTCTATGAAATGTAATTCCATTACAAGGTTTCTGATTAAATTTCTTCTATTCTAGCGATTAGCAGGAGCCACTCTGTTAGTTTTTGCCAACAAGCAAGACCTACCTGGTGCTTTATCAAAAGATGGCATTCGAGAGGTGAGTCTTCACATTGCATGTCACAACTAAAATAAGGATTAAGTAAATATGCTAGTTTCTGATTAATCTCTCCATCTGCCTAGGTTTTAGCCCTTGATGATATTAAGACCCATCACTGGTGTATTGTGGGATGCAGTGCTGTAACAGGCGAGAATCTGCTTTCAGGTGTGGATTGGCTACTAGATGATATTGCAGCTCGGATCTTTACAACGGACTAATGGACACACATTTAGCCTTTAAATGGACAGTAAAGGAGCAGCATGTTGGACTGCACGTGTAATGCAAATGTGCTGAAGATAGTGGTCACAAACTTAAAAAATATTGTTAAGCAGCTGTGAAAAACTAATTTACCATAAATACACAACTGTTTCACAAAATCTGCTGGGGTATCTTGTTCCATTTAAAGCTTCTGCTGTTTAAATAGTTACAGCTCAGTGAAGCCTTTCTCTTATCGATGTTACAAATAGGTGGGCAGTTAATTTTTCCATGAATCCTTCAGATCTGGATTTCAACTTCACAAAAGACCATTAAAAAGACTTTGCATTAAAATCTGCAGTACCCTTTTTGTGTCTAGCAAACTAGCTGTCAAGTTGGTTTGAGAACATTTTGTAGAAATTTAAATGTGGCAC